GCTCTGTGCATTTCTTCATGCCTCGTTTCCACGTCATCTGTTGACCTCCACGTGGTTTCCTCCAACCTGGAGCCGAAACTGCGAATAAGGCGCGGTAGGGTAGACGACAGCTGAGTATGCGCAACACGTGTCCTAACCAGCGGAGCCTACCGATCAGAATTCTGCAATGAATTTTCCACCAATTCATTACCAAATATGCGACGATTTAGCCTTAAAGTTGCTTACACACTCACTTCATTCAACCCGCGCTAAACTAGGTAAAAATCGTCAAAAATCGTCAATCTAAGACTTCTAGGCGACGAATATCTTCCACGCACGCGCAAGGCCACACAACAGCGCAGTATACGTGATCTTTTAGTTTCAGCGAAATATTATGGCGGCACCAATGGTTTTTCAGTCCTGCGTGAGCTGCTCGTGCCTTTGAACTGCAGGCGGTAACCTCGTTGACTACACTACAGTCAATTTGTCTCGCAAAAACCCAAGTAGGAGAAACAATTCACCATAACCAAGTCTTGATCATCAAACATCAGGGTCGGAGTAGACGAGACCCAATCTTGTAGCATCACTTAACACTTTGAAGGTGAAAAGCGTATTCCGAATGGGATTACAGAATTTGAAAGTCTGTCAAGAATGCTGACACACTCCCTTCCACCCTAACCACGCATTACCAAGTTGTCCGCGTATTTTGATGAGCGTTTCAAATGTACGAAGCAGTGACGGATAGACTATGATAAACTATTCCAACCAGCTCACCTAACCGAGCTAGCTAAAAAGCTAGAACTGGCCCCATCTGATAACACCAGCTAACACTGGTCGTTTATTAAGAATTATCTACATTTTGCCGGCTTTGGTTTACCATGTCATGTCGTGATACCCTAGATTTCCACCAAATCTGTGCCTTTTTATTGCACAACCGTAGTGAGCGTAACGAAACACGAGTTGCAATGATATATGAACGCAAGCCTATGCATGAATCACGAAATCTGATGCTTTTAACATGTTGACAAAATATGTTCTCGTAGCTCGGGTGAACTGAATTCCATCTCACCTGTTCGCCGAGCTTGACAATTGGTTTGCAAACGTTTCATCACCAGCCGAGGTAACATCATCAGTGATTGTAAAGTGGCACTGTTCTACCTGTTTATGTGTTTTTCTTCACCGACAGTTTTGGCGCTTGTTCTCACTGTGTTCAACTCGGTTCGCTGTTGACCTGGTGCGAGGGGGTGAGGGGACTAGGTAGTCCTTTCGTCCTGATTGCGTTTTCGGTCCGTTCTCTTAACATGCACCAGAGGGGTACATGCCGCTGCCGTAGGCCCCGCAAACTGTTCCATCTCATTTGGGTTATCGATAGGAGAGTAGATGCGTCCAATACGATTAGTGAAGCTGACGTCTCGTCTAGTTACAATCAGAAGCGATGTCTGACACGGTGAAATGGAGCACCTTTAAGTGCATCAACTCATTTAACAGCTACTCCGACCCATGCCCCATAGTCTGCCTGATTGGACAGATCTAGCTTCTCAGACAGAGATCTGCAAGGAAATCTAAACCCTAAGACGTCACAAAGCGTTAGTCTGCTCGCCCTGTGGAAAGCACAACTGAATGCTATCAGATGCGTCTTCAGATTGCAGATAGGTGTGATCGGTGACCGGTGGTGGGATAAGGGAATAGCTGTTCACTGAAAGAACGATGCGGATAGCCAGCGCGTTACTCGAAGGAGCGGTGAGTTCTTGCCTGTCAATGACCGGTATACAAGTAACGTAAACCCGAGGATAACAACGTGGAGTGTGCGATTTTGGCTTACCGCTGTCCATTGCCCCTCACTAAACTATTCCAACACACAGTGAGAATTCTCGATTGTTAGAAGACAATCTAAAAGGTGTATGTCAGGACGGAGCTTGCAAAACTTGTCAGACCGCGCACAAGACGACGCTAAACGATGAACACGTTCGCGTCACTGGCAGCAAGTTGAGACCAAATCAGACTGTGGCTGTT